GACTTTCCAAAGTCAAACTTCCAATGCATTGGATTTCCGTGAAAGTCGGAAGACGATTCTTGGAAGATTCATCATATTTCTCTCGAGGCGCAGGCTAGAGGTGCTTTGACTTCCTAATATCCGAGACACAACTACAGCAGTTTGTCTTCAAAGCAAGACAGCGAGTATTCAAGGAAATAGTTCGATCATTGGTAAATTCAAACCAACAGCTATAAAACGCGAGTCGCTGTGACAAAAAAGATTCCAGCGCTGCCAAATAAGTAATCAAACTACTGGATACTGTATCGGTGCAGCGCTAACTTAAGCAAACAAACTAGAACAAAAAATTCGTTCTTTATAAGTTCCTGCAGTTTTGCAAATACAATCAATAGCAGCGCTCAAGAATTGCCGGTGGGATCATGCTAAAACTCGACTCGCTTCAACAGTTTTATTCTAGCGTTCTCGCTAGAGCAATTTCGCGGCGGATTTCGTCGGCACCGCTTTGCACTTTGCCAGGTGTGCCGGGTAGCGATACCCAGCGTCTGACTGTTGGGTCGCATGCCCCATTGCACGCGGGTAGGTGAAGGAGGCGGGTTGGACGCCGATGGAGGTGTTGGCTGGTAGGTTTCCGGATACAGCTCAGAGGGCACGGGCTGGGAACAGGATAGAGGGGGGGGGGAGGGGAGGGCGGGCACGCTTGTTTATGACGCCGTTCATAAAGCTGATGCTTAGGTAAGCTTAGAGCTCTCAGCTTTACCTACGCATCAGCTTTATAGATGAATATGCCCTCCATTGCTGGCGGGTTTTTCACCTGCTTTTCTTGCCTTTACTTTCTTTTTTGCTTTTACTTTTTTCTTGCTTTCCTTCTTTCCAGCCGTCACTCCCTCCCCTATCTCTGACATGACCTAGACAATTGCCAATAATGATTTGCGTTAGAAAGCGCTCAAGGTAAGTGTAAAGCAGTAACCATTCATACAGCTAACGACTTGATTGCTCCATGTGTAGTGTAAAAACACATAATCGCACCAACAGGCCTAATGTGCCCCAGCCTACAGTTGCATCTGTGTTGAGCTGAGGCCATAGAAGTCTCATCCGTTGGCCCAGTGCTTCGGCGCCTTCTAGGACCGTTGACGAAATCGTTGGTTCCTCGGTGATGGTTCGTGCTAGGAGAGCCTGCGTCCTTTGTTGATCGTCGGGTCCGCGAGCACAACATCACACTTCTTTGACATAAAAACAGCGACCTTGTATAGGCAGCTTAGCACCATTATGTATGTCCTACCTAAGAAGGAATCATGATACAGCATACCCCTCCGGCTACAAAGATCATACCTATTCTTTCTAGCCAGTATACAATACAGAAGGACTTTAAGACTTGGTAAACTTATAAGTACAAAATCACAAAAAAAGAACTTCAAACATTCTTTTACATATTTATCGCGGCCAGAATTAATATCCACATTACCATTCACGCGTGATTCATCTAAGAATTTGCGGCGGCGAGACTCATCCCTAGTATGGTTGGTTTAGATATGTCTTCGACCATCGGTGAAGTCCCGCGTGCGTTCTTTCGTTATGATGACGTTGCCCGCTCTCATCGGCCTCGTTACGCTAGGTCATTCCATGCTGCTCCACGTCCCTGATTAACGCGCTGTCGTTGGTACGTGCTCGAGTCGGCTTTCGATCGGGGCGCTGTAGAGGTACTGCAAACCTGAAACTAACTTCCCCGCGTCCAGTGGCGTTGTTAGTCCTCGGCTGCTGTAGAGTAGTTCGTTATGCACGAACGGCACTCTTCCGATTTCGTATGTTAGGTGCACGTGATCATGTCTATTGTCCCAGCCCATCATCTTGCACGCTGCCATTTCCAGCTACTCTCGTAGATTTGGAAAAATCTTCATTGCCTGCTATAGCGCTTGTCTTTGTTCTACTGCAAACGGCGATGCCACCGCTAAGCAGAAGACATCCTGGTATCGTTCTGCGATTTCTCTCATTGCCCCTCATTCCTCGATTCTTGTAGTTGCATCCGCGAGCATGATTAGCTCTTTCGTTTGATAACTAATTTGGCATGGGCACCTCAGAGATAATGAGAATCAAATGCAATTTTTCCAGATCTTGGGCCTGGACCGAACTTAATCCATGTCCACCTCAGACGCTCCTGCTTGGCCTTCAGTCCTGTCCGAAATACCTAATAAATTTGGCGCAGCTCTTTGTTCACCATTACTAGATCATTCCGGATCGCTATCTCCTTTTCAACGCTCAAAAAAATTGAGAGATGTTGGAACCTGGTCAGTCGTTGTTGGCGATGCGGACAATTTTTTACCATTGCTGCTCTCTTGATATCTTCACGCTGGACTTTGATGTCCACAGCGTATGGTACTATTCGCATCTTCATCTCCTTTAGCTCGAAGCTCGCTGTTGAGTTTCACAGGTTCACTGTATGGTCAACTTCTGTACGCTTTTGAAGCAGAGGGGAAGGGAGAGGAGGGTGAGGTGGGAGGGGAGGTAAGCAGAATGAACCACAAAGCTAAATGGTACACCCTCACTACACATTTTCTCCACATAGATTGTTGCCTCTCCTAGTAATGTCGATTCCAAGTTTACGGCTCGCCGAGCTGGTGCTCCATCTTCAAAAGTAATTGTCGGCATTGACTGCTCAAAAATTCCTTTTATTTCGTAGCTGCACTGGGTTAGTACTTGTCTGCCTAACTATTCCTCTTACTGTATTATCATTTACGCCTTTGGTATTTTCCCATACGGCAGTTTTTACCTTATCTGGTACTATTTTCAAGTGGTCTACCTGAACTCGAAATGGTTCGTCGTGGCGTTCAATCAATTTCAGTATCGCACTATTTTTACTTCCAGAAGTAGATAGGGGCCGGTATAACTACGAATAAGCTTTGGGTAGCTTGTCTTGGCTTTGGCAAAAGTGACGAATATCAGTACGCGCTGACTAACCAGAAATCTGTGTCCGGTTGTCCTCATACGATCGTAATAGTCTTTTGCTTCGAACTGAATTTGCTCTGTATTCCGGGTCACATGTTTTCTTATCTCTGCTAGCCCATCTATCATTTCCTCGCGATACGTATCCATTTCATACACTTACGGCCCAAATGGTTCTTCTTCCTCTAATTCATTAGGATTTATTAGGTCAAATCCGAGGAACGCAAAGAACGACTCTGCCTGTCGCTTCAAGCGGGGTACTGTTGCACGTCCAAAGGACAAAGCTAGGTTCGTGTCCCATTTGCTGTGATTTTTACGAGCATGTGAATGAAAGTTTGGTTTATCCGCTCGGTAATTCCTGAGCCCACCGTTAGTCTGTGCTATATTCCGTACCGTTTCGTTATGGCCCTAAATAGTTCGTTCTCGAATTCGCACTCTCCTGTCTGAGTTTATTACTTTCGGATACTGGCTTTCTCGGGCTATCCAGTTACTCGTGTGACCGTCTCAGCCGCCTTGATTGCCACCAGATAAGCTGAGCACCTCTTCGAGAATGAATCGGCGGTGGTAACTTTATAGGGCTTCCACTACTGGTCCGGCCTAAACCCATCAATTCGATTCCGCATATTCTGTAATGGTGTTGAGTTCGGGTGCCGTTCTACGCCGCAAATTCACTGCTAAACAAATCTCACAGCTCTGGTGCCATTTGGCTATGTCGCTCCATATAGTGGCCCAGTGGTACTGTTCCGCGAGCTTACAGTATAATTCCCTCGCGTTCAAATGGCCTGATCCAAATGCCTGAGTACAAGCGGCTCACTAACTCACGGCGCTTACTCTCTAGTACTATTTTACACAGTTCACCTCGCGATGATATGAACGGTAGTATTCCTCTATCCGTCAGGTATTCCGGCATTTCTTTCCGGTCTCGCAGTTTTCCAATGGTCCCAGTAAACTCTCAGTCACCACTCAATTCCTCTAGCCATTTAGTTGTCTATCCCTTTCAACCTTCCAGCTTTTCTGGTTCCCGAGTTAGCCGTCTTTCCCTCCAAAAAATTTCACGAAGCCGTACGTGAAAACCACACATGCTTGGGGGCCGAATTTGATAACTTTAAGTTGTACTTAGGCTGAGAACATTCCCTGAAAATTTCAGCCTTCCAGCTTCCCTGGTTCCCAAGCTAGCGATTTTCGCGTCAGGAACCTTTACGGGGCTGTACGCGGGAACCTTTACGGGGCTGTATGCATACCTGGGGATGGGGAACATTATCTCAAAATTTCTATGTGGATGGGAAAAATAATCTCAAAATTTCAGCTTTCTAGCTTTTCTTGTTTCAGCAACTTTCCCGCTAAAATTTTTGTGCACTCGCACGCGGGGCCCAGACGTGCGTGAGAGTTGGTACTGCGCTTCTGGGGT